GGCACTTGGATCTCTAAGGAGGTGCTAATTTAGCCTCTTCCTGAGGCTACCCAGCAGGAGCTATGGAGAGCTTGCCCTTGACTGGGTCTTTGTTTGGGGTTTGGAGGTTCCCAGATGAGGACCAACTCTGATGCAATGCAAACTCTTGTGAGGCCTTGGGCCTTCTTTTGGAAGTTCTGGGTCTCTCTGACCTAGCTGCAGTTTGTTAGGTAATTTTCAGATTGCAAAGGGCCAGGCCTTGCATATGCAAAAGCCTCTGCACACAACTTGTGTGGGGCGGGGTCTCAGTGGATCAACAGGGTGGAGCAAGCAGCTATGGCTGCTCATCAGTCCTACCTAAGAGGCCCATGTCTCAATGTCCCGGTTATCGCCGCAAGCACCTCTGAGAGAAAGCTGCCCTCGAGTTCCGACCGATGCCAGACAGTCCATTTTCTCCCCATATGAGTCTGGGTCCCCAGAGACTCACTCAGAACTGGATTTCAGAGCAGTCTGGAGCTTGAGACTCCCTCCCGATTGAAAAAGACAAAATACTTCTGCACATCCTCTGATTCTCAGTGTGCTTTTCTCTTTCCTTCTAGTTGTAGAATTTCCACTCAGCCAGCCTTCCTGTGGTTCTGGATGATGTCCATTTTGTCTTTTAGTTGTATTTTTGAAGTTGTTGTGGGAGACAGCAATTTCCGGTATTTATCTATGTCACCATCTTGGTTTCTCCCGATATGGTTTTTACTTAGAATGTTTCAATCATATCTAAATCTTAATGAGCATGTATTAATTTTACAATAATTGGTAAAATAAAGTAAGATATAGACATAGAAAGCGTGTACAGTGACAGAATAGATAGAAGCATCTTTTAGCTGTGCCCTGGGTACCTTAAATAAGCTTTCTAAGATCAATGCCATTGGGAACATAAGCACTGGAAATATTAATTAAATGCAGGGGTAGGCAAAAGTAGGTTTTCAGTTGCACTACAAATAAATAATACAATAATTAATAAATAATGCAAGAATAAACTCTGTTTCACATACAATTCAACCTAATTTTGCCCACCCCACTATATTTAACTGACCAATAATATTTGTATTTCTTTGCTCCACGTAATGAAGTTTTTCCAGTACACAAGACAAAGATTCTGCTATGGAACTCAATATTTAATGGTATTTTTTCAGCATGGGATTGATGATCCAT